GTGTAAGTTAGTATCTGTCCTTTCTGAGAGTCAATTATCTATAAAATGGGAATGACATATTGTAGCTACATGGGGTTATTAAAAGTCCTTAATGAAACAAGAGAGGTATAAAGTACCTAGCATAGTGCTTGGTACAAAATATGGTCTCCAAAATATTAGTTCCCTTCCCTTTTACTTCCAGATCTAAAATAATAGTTTCACTCTCAACACTTAAATAGGGTACAGAAAGATAAATTCAAGACTCAACTAGCCAAAAAAAGGAGATTCAACTTGTTGGGTTCATAATCATGTGATCATGGATTATCAGTGAATTGCTTTATAAATCATTAAAAGTATTTATCAATATCAAAAAACATATAGGTCAGGGGCACCTGGGTGGCTCAGTCAGTTGAGCGTCAGAACACTTGATTTTGGCTCAGGTCATGATCTTGGGGTTGTGAGATGGAGCCCCGTGTCTGAGCTCTGCACTCACCGGGGAGTCTGCTTGAGATTTTCTCTCCTTATCCCTCTGCCCTTCCCCCACTGCTTGTGTGAACACTCCTTCTCTCCCCGCCTCAAATAAATAAATCTTGAAAAAAACAGACAGGTCATATACTATGCTCTTCTTAAAATAAATGGACCATAATGTTCCCATATGACCATCAATCTCTGTTTCACACAAGAAAACAATGGGACAAGGGCTGAAAATAAAAGAGCCAATTCTAACAGTAAAGCCATTCAGCAATAACGTCCTGCTTCAAGTATGACAGAGGTAGTTATTCAGACTCGGGAGGGTTTCTACCTACCTACCATATTATCTTTCTCCTGATCCTGCTTCTTCAGGTAACTTAATACAGACATTGTATCTTTCTCCATTTTATATTGCTGTTTCTTTAAGTCCTCATTACTTTTTGCCAGTCTCCGGGAAGTATCACGATACTCAATCCTAGAGAGTTCTGTGACTTCCAGTCTGGCCTCCCAAAGGGAGGCATTGGCCTTGGCTCTGTCCACTGTAGATTCATCAGCTTTTATTATCTTCCTGCATGGGAAGAGGACATTGACAGCATATAACTATTTCTCTACTATATTAGAATTATACCTTTCTCTTTACTACTATTTGTTTTGGTTGGCATTGCCTGGCACATATGAGCAAATATTGTTGGATGAATGAGTTAATAAATACATATTTATGATAAGGGAGTTAAGTGGGTGACTCTTCTCAGAAGAGGGGAGCTTTGGAGCATAACTCTAAAGGACTGGAAAAACAAAGAGGAAAGGCATAAGTCAAACTCATTTCATAAATCTTTCACATCTTTTCATTTACCTCTTTTTCTTGTATTTGAAACTGTCATTTCTATTCCTACCCACTCAGTTTTAGACCTTGGTTCTCACTCCTGCAAATCCATTACCTTAGTTCCCCCTCTGCATGATAATACATTCGTAGTGTAACTGTAAGTCCATCATTCTGTAATCTTCCACATACTCCAACCCCAGTTTTGGTTTTGTTTTAGGTTGTTTTTTTGGGGGGGGATTTCTGGCTAGACCTTGGACAAAAGATCAAGTCACAAGGACAAGTATGTTAAATACTTTATTAGCTGGTGCCACAATGCACCAGGCTTCAAGGACAGCTGAGAAACGAACCATAATCATTTATACAGAAGTAAAAAGAAAAATTTAAAATAATGATAATAAAGCATGGCTTCAAAGATTAAGATGATAAAAGTAGAGTTTTTCAAAATAAAGATTTAGGGGCGCCTGGGTGGTTCAGTCGGTTAAGCGCCTGCCTTTGGCTCAGGTCATGATCCCAGGGTCCTGGGATCGAGCCCCGCATCGGGCTCCCTGTTCGGCGGAGAGCCTGCTTCTCCCTCTCCCTCTGTCTGCCGCTCTGCCTACTTATGCTCTCTCTCTCTGTTAAATAATTAAAAATCTTTAAAAAACAAACAAACAACAAAATAAAGATTTATGGTATGAAGATTAACAAAACAATGCCCCTTATATGTGGTAGGCACTGGATGCATAAATATTTAGATAATAAGTAAGACTTTACCTGCATTTGAACTCTAAATATTTTCACACATAGATATGTGTGGATCTTTCTGTACTATCACCCTCCATCCCTACCAACTCCTGGTTCTCCATCCCTTTCCCTTCTGTTCTCTTCAAATTAAGGTCAGCCCCACCTCCAACCCTCTAGCCTGTTATAGCTTTGACCTTCCTTTCCAGCATGATTTAGGCAGTAGTGACAGGCTGCCTTGCTATAATCATCCAATTACTCCCTGAAGGTATCACGTCTAAGCTGCTCATAACAGTTGATGGCAGCTAGGATTTCTCATAAAACCACTAATACTGACTGAAAAACAAAGCAGCGTTTCTCAAACTATGAGTCATGGAAAATCCAAGGAATACAAGGTCTGTTACCCTCAGTGTTCCTCCTTGTTGATAAATGTACTGTAGATGCACGGTCAAAAATAGAAAACTTATGCTAGTGAGTTCCAAGAATGTGACAAGCCCTTGGCACTTTTAAAAAGTGCAAGACTGGGGCACCTGGGCGGCTCCGTTGGTTAAGTGTCTAACCTCAGCTCAGCTCATGATCTCACTTTGGCTCAGGCCATCATCTCAGGGTCCTGGGATTCAGCCCTGCGTCAGGGCTCTGTGCTCAGTGGGGAATCTGCTCAAGGATTCTCTCTCTCCCTCTCCCTCTCCTTCTCAAATAAATAAAATCTTTTCTAAAAAGTGTTTATGCAATTATGTAAAAAAGAAAGAAAAAAGTTACACTGCAGAAGAATACTTATATTAATACATGGGGGGGGGAGCTACAAATAAATATGTACCATGGGCTATCATTTTATAAAGAAGAAAAAGAAAATCCCCAAATGATAGTAGTAGTTACATTTGGATGATGGGATTACAGGTGATTTTTGTTTTCTACTTTGACTTCCATGTTTCCTAAACCTTCTGTACTGAGCATGTATTACTCTCTTAAACAAGTTACTTTATAAACTTTACAAGTTTGGGGGATTCCCTTTTGGTCCCATATATAGTGATTGATGCTGGACACCATGTATGATTCCAACAAACCACTAGAGTCACCCAATAGATTTAGTGGCAATCTAGCAGCAACTCCATGCAAAGGGTTAGTGCTACAGCAATGCCTACTTTAGGGGTTCTGACCAGCTTGGGGAAACGTGAACAATTACCAATTCGTTCAAATCTTTTACGTTTTCCTTTGAACCAAAAGGAATCCTTCAAAAGGCCCATCGAACTACTTCTTCACCCAGAGATTCTCTAGATGTTCAAGATATTCTCAACTACATCACAGAGATCTCTCAGGTGGGGGGCGGGGGCGGGGGGAGAATGAAACCCAGAGCATAGTTCCCATTGAAAAAAGAGAAGATTCAAGTTGAAGCATACATGGACACCTTAATTTGTTTATTTAACAAATAATAAGCATCCACCATGTTCCAGGGTCTCTGCTAGGTGCTGGAGATATGGAGAATAATGCTTAGTGCCTACTCTAGAGAAGCTTGTAGTCTTGAGCAGGGGTTTCCAACCCTGGCACTACTGATATCCTGAGCCAAATAATTCTTTGGAGAGCAGGTGGGGGGTGTCCTGTGCATTGCAGGATGTTTAACAGTATCCTTGGTCTCCACCCACTAGATGCCAGTAGCACACATCCCCCGATGAGAACCAAAAATGTCTCTAGATAGTGCCAAATGTCCCCTGGGAGCCAAAATCGCCCCGAGTTGAGAACCACCGGTCTGGAGCAGTACTGTCCAACAGAACTTTCTGTGGTGATGTTAATGTACTATACCTAGGCTGTCCAATACAGTCACCAGTAGCCACATGTGCCTATTGAACATATGAAATGTGGCTAATACAACAGAAGATCTGATTTTTAAATTTTAAGAGCCACACATGGCTGGTCACTACCCTATTGGACAGCGCTGGTCTAGAGGACCTTCAGTATACCAAGAAATGTTATCCTGACCTTCTGATCTTCACTTCTAGTGTCAGAACTAACTCTTCCTCCTCATTCCCAGTTCTTTGGTTTTTTCACTAGCCCCTATTTCATTTGGTCCTGTATTTTATTCTTTGGGAACTTATCTGCCTCCATCGTTAATGCATTACACATAGGCAGGGGCTGTGTCTAAATTATTCAGGGTCCCAAAACTCACACTCCGTTGTTTAGGTTGGAGCAGTACGGTTCGCATGCATTTTGGGAATTTTTGAACAATGAGGCTGTCCTTTTCAGAATCCAGGAGAGCAAGAGGAGGGCAGTTAGCCAGCCGGCCAGCCCCAGCGTCCCGCCGGTTCCCAGCCCCGAATCCCCAGAGGGTAGGCCCGGGGAGAGGGGACCCCAGCGTGGCTTCTCCTTACTTCTTGTCTTTGTCTTTGCCTTTACTCTTGCCTTTCTTTTTGTCCTTTCCCTTAGACGGCATCCTGGCTTCACCAGGGGCCCCACTGCAGTCGACGTTTCTCCACCGCCTCCCCGGCCCGGCTCCGTTTCTAAGGAAACCAGCACGCCCAGCTTGTAACGTTCCGTCCCGGCCGTTGCCCGTGC